CAGATTTACATCTACGTTATTTATATAAAAGTATTGCACAACATAATGCAAAACATATCTTCTTTTTATTTTTAATAATGTCTGGTCAAGATAAAACTTATCAGTAAGCTATAGTATAAACATTGTCGTCTGCTATAGTTAATCATCTTGCAGAATTCTCTCTGTAGAAAGGACACAAAACGGATAATATGTTTGTTCATATACTAATAATAAGCAACTTAGGACTTTTAGCTTCTGCTGCTAATTTGCTACTTTTAACGCCTCCATTAACAAAACATTAATCTAAGAGTCATGCTGATAATCTAATTGCTCTTGGAAAAGGTTTAATTGACTCTGGACACAATGAGAGCATTGTACGACAAGGAACTGTTAGATTGGATCAACTTGGCAACATTTCAATGTTGGATGTACATTCACCAGTTTCTGAAGAAACTCTAGAACTTCTTGCAGAAGCTGTAAAGCAAACTTCCATTGATTTACTACATCAGAATATATCTCAAATAAATATGGATAAACATTTCACTATCTTTTGGAATGTCTTTACTCAGGAATGTAGAGCAATGTTGATTGATTCATCATTTGAAAAAAAACTAGATGAGTTTGATTTATTAGTCATTGACCACTTTTTCTTTTGTGGTTTCCTGTTGGCTGAAAAATATAGAAAACCATTTGTCATGTATGAATGTTCTTCATATTTAACATATATAGAAGCAGCCGTACCATCACCAATGTCATAGGTTCCAGCTTTTATGAGTTCTCTAACTGATAAGATGACAATAATTGATAGAGGAAAGAGTATTTTATCTAATGTATTTATACTTTTGAGTAGATTCCTCAAAAATACCTTTTGTCTAAGCAAAATTGTATTCTATTCATATCACATGGAGGTTTAAATTCCATTTATGAAACAATGTACTCTGGAACTCCAGTTTTAGTCATCCCAATCCCATCAGACAGTAGAGACAATTCAATTAGATTAAAAAGACATGGAATGTTGGAAATTCTACCTTTTCATACAAAAGATGTATCATTTCTTGAAGAATATATTGAAAAGATGGTTAAAGACAACACATATATGAAAATGGCAAAAAGAGTTTCAGCTCTTTTAAATTCACAAAAACCTAAACCTTTAGAAAAGGCTGTATATTGGATTGAGCATGTATTAAAGTTTGGTAGTAACCATTTAAGACACTCTGCAATGGATATGCCAGCATACAAACTATACAATTTGGATTTATTAGCAATTACAATCATTCTAAGTTTTTTATTTATTTGGTTAATGAAAAAACTATTTGTCTTCTCTTTTGTAAAGTGTTCTTCAATTTTTTTGAAACATTCTAAAAAAGAATAAAAATAATGTTTTCCTAGGTCATTTTAATGCTCTACAAATTTTTCCAATTTAGAATTTTAGCACCAGTTATCAAGTGAAAAATATTTATTTAAGGAATAAATCTTTTTTATCTACAAAAACTAGAGTATTTTTGAATTTTT